CTCTCGAGGACGCGTGGTCAATGGTGTAATCGCTAAGGCATGCAAAACACAAGAGTACGCCCCCCCCCCCCCCCCACTCTGGGCCTGAACCTCTCTTTTTGTTCTTTGTCTCCGGGCAAACCGAAAAACAGCACGGAAAGGATCCGCGGGCTGTATCGAGGCATAGGTGCTGTCACGTTCGGAGGAGTGCCCGGGGTGTGCCTCTACCTCACCACATATGAGGCCACCAAAGAGCTTCTCGCGGACCGCGGGGCGATCGGCGGGGGCGACGCAGAATCAGGAGGGGAGGGCATCTTGACCCACTTGACCGCTGGAATGATGGCGGAAGTTGTGTGGTACGTCCTTGGTTGACACATGGGGGAGCCTGTGTGTGCTCTGCTGTAGTTGCGCCTACAGCGGTGCTGTAATGCAGCGGGTCGCTCGAAATGCTTCAGTGTTTCGGTGGACCTACCTCTCGTACCTCGCGGATTGCTTCGAGGACGTCTGAAACGCGCACCTTGTAGATCGTTGAGGCGGCTTCGCCTTCGTTAGACACGCCTTCGTTAGAAACGCACAAGGAGGCCCGGTGGAACAAACATCCTTCGGCCCTAGGTGATCCGGGTGACCCACTGCGCGGAGCGCGGGCGCGCGTTGAGCCGCCCCGTTGCCACCGGGCGTTTATTTTGGGCCAACCCCGAAAAGCGCTACTTTCTTTGCGCATCGCATATCGTGTTCGCCCCTCGTGCTTTCAGAACTGAGCGCGCCTCACCCCACACCGCCACAACCTGGCTCACCTTGTACCGTTGCCCTCGATCTCGATTCCGTCTTCCGTCCGACGGGAAACGCGGGACATCTCGCCGTGGGTTCGAATTTCCCCGGGGCAGCTGCGTGGTATTCGTTCCCGTAGACGTGGTCAAGGAGAGGCTGCAAGTCCAGCGACCAGCGGGGGCGGCGGCTGCCAAATATGTGTCCACTGCTGAAGCTAGTAGTGGTGGAAGTAGAGCCGGCGGCAGCAGCAGCGGGGTTAGAGAGGCGTCGGTGCCGCCTTACAGAGGGAGCGCGGACACGCTGAAAACAATTTTGAGAACCGAAGGCCTCCGAGGGATATACAAGGTTCGCTGTTGCAGCGAAGAAAGAGCCTTTAGTGAGCTAGCTTCCTTGAAGGGGGCGAGGGTGGGTGCCTGTACTCAGACATGGGATCATTTCTCTAAGTAAGAAAATTCATTCAAGCAGGACTTTTGCTCGGATCCTGCCCCTGAGCACTCTCCATTGTACGCAGTCGTGCCTCTTTGGGTGCTGAGTACCCCTCTATTCTATGCCCCCAAGCCCTCGACACTAAAAGAGTAAAAGGGCTGGGTCCTAGGCTTTTTACTTTTGTTAGAGATTAGGCATGGCCCTTGCACAACTTCGAATGACCTTGTCCGCCGTAACCGCTCCGTTTTTCGGCCGCGTGCACCCGCCTCTCTCAAGGGTTACTTGGCGACGCTGGCCTCCTTCGGCCCCTTCTCGGCGCTGTACTTCATGTTCTACGAGCAGGCCAAGATGGCCTCCCAGGACTTGATCGGTGAGAGCACCACCCTCCACGGCCGCTTGGTACGGTCGCCGCGCGGTGCATACACGCAGGAACGATGCGCGAAAACGCGAAAAGAGTGTGACTTGCCAACAGGGAGATAGATGCCATGTGTTTTTTTCGGGTCTCGTAGCTGTAGAAGCTTTTCCCCCTTGATTTGTTTTTTGAGTGCGGAAGCGGCCTCTGTATCACTGGGAAAGAGTGCTTCCGTTCTCAGTACTTTACTGTACCGGCTGCCCCATCTTGGGTGTGTGGGGCACTTGGCGGTGGCCGGTGCCGTCAAGAAACGCACGGCGCCGAAGCCCGCTCTCTGAGTGCGCCGTTGTGCGAACAGCGTTAAGGTGTACAGCATACCCACCATGCTACTTTCAGCGCTGACTTGTAGCACAGTTGTTTATCTTTGCAACCAGACCTTTCTAGCTCTGGGCGGCATGAAGGCAAGATGGCTTTGTGGTCGTTCACAAGCAGCTAGTGCTGTGTACCTACCCCCTGCACCACTGCCGTGCTCGTCGGTTATGAATTCGAATCGCCGGCAGAAACCATACGAGCCTCCCACACACCCCTGGAATACCCCCCAACTAAGGGAGAGCTGTGACACGTGAACACCTGACCACCACCACCACCACTCATTTCCACGCTCAGCAAGCCATCGACGTTGTCGCACCTTTTGCCGTGTCCCGGTGGAGCAGAACGACATCCATACTTCCGAGGGCAGGGGGGCACGGACGCTCGAGCAGCAGAAGGGGCGGCGACGGCAACAACGGAGGGCCAGAGCGCGCGAGGGGGCAGGGCAGAACTCCCGGTGTGGATGACCCTGGGCAACGCGGCGGCGGCGTCGGCGGCGGCGTCCTGGCTGACGAACCCCCTGGACTTGGCGAAACTCAGGCTGCAGGTTTGTTGGGGGGGGGGGGGGGGGGGGTACTCATAGTCGTGCATGCCGTAGTCGTTTGACCATTGACCTCGCATCCCTACAAAGCCGGGACGGAGCACGCCGGGTTCTCACCGGACCAGGCTCTCACATCACCAAGCGCGAAGCGCCGTGAGGTATTTGGCGAGTCGCATGAAGGGTGAGCTGCATCCTGCTAAGGGTGTTCGGCATCTTGTGCTTACTTCCTTGCGTACGGATGACAGCTACGTATGACTTAATTTATTTTCTGGTGCTTTCACTTCCAGAGACAGTTGTAAGCGCTGTGTAACTGCCTCGAGGAAGCTTGACCATTTTAACACAACGTGGTGCGATCATCCCCCGTTGCGCGGAGTGAGGTTTCTCCACCCCGCACAACATGATCTACTCGACCACCATTATGGTTACCGCCAAAAAAAAAGACGAGGTAAAAAAAAAAACGGTAACCTGGTTGCCGAGTTCACGAAGTGAATTGGCTTGTTTTACAACGTCGTTGCCAAGCGACGAAAACCCAATCCCGATGGCAAACACCGAGTGGGGGGCTTGTTTTACAACGTCGTTGCCAAGCGACGAAAACCCAAACCCCGATGGCAAAACACCGGGGGGGGCGAGCAGCAGGGGACAGGGTAATTGAAGGATGGGAGTCCATAGTGAACACAACGGCAGAGAGAGTAGTAGGAAAGAAGGTGGTACGATGTGGGGTATCGGTTAAGTGGTGGGATGACGAGCTGAAAGAAGAAATAGTGGAACGTAGAGAAGTCTTCAAGCAGTAGCTGAGTGAGGAGTCTGAGGAGAGTTGGGAAAAGTACAGGGCCAAGAGGAAACAGGTGAAGGGACTAGTGAAAAAGAAGGAAAAGTTAATTGGGACGAAGTAGTGCAGAAGGCCAACGGAGGCCTGGAGGGGAACGTCAAGCAGATGTGGGAAGGGATTAGTGGGATGGTAAAAAAGACCGCGCAAGGGGGGGATACAGGGGTAGCAACTTTGCGAGGTGTGAACGGTGGACTAGTCAGCAGTGGGAAGGGAAAAAGGCAAGTTCTAGCAGGACACTACAAGAGACTTGGAGTGCCTTCGGATCATAAAGCTTTTGACCAAGTGTTTAAGAAGGAGGTGGACGCATGGGCCCAGAAAGAATAAGATACATCGAAGGCAGACGTTGGGAACGTAGAACTAGAAAATGAATTCACTGAGGACGAGGTTGAGGCGTGTGTGAACAAGCTGCAGTGCCACAAAGCAGCAGGGGCGGATGGGATAGTCAACGATTTCATGAAGTTTGGGGGGAAGGGGATGATCCAGCTGATGGTACTGTTGTACAACTGGGTGTGGAAAAACGAGTATGCGCCAAGTAGATGGAGGGAAGGAGTGGTTTTGAACTTGTTTAAGAAAGGAGACAAGACTGACCCAGGAAACTACAGGTGTTGAACACAGTAGGAAAAGTGTTTTGTAAGCTGCTGAACGATAGGATAGTGGGAGTATTGGAGAAGGAACGTAGCGTTAGTGAGGGCCAGGCAGGTTGCCGACAGAAGAGGGGGTGCGTAGACCACGCATTCACGGTAGGGAGAATCATCCAAGGTAGAAAGAGGGCGGGAAGGCCGACGTACTGCTTCTTCCTGGAAGGCATACGATACCGTATGGAGAAATGGGCTGTGGAAACAATTGTCCAAGTACGGGATCAAGGGGATAATGTGGAGAGTGCTGAAGAAGATGACAGAGTGTACGAAAAGCGCGGTCATGCTAGACGGAGAACTGTCTAAATTCTTCGACATTGAGCAGGGGGTCCCACAAGGTTGCACGCTGTCCCCAACATTGTTCCAGGTGTTCATCAACGATCTGTTGGAAGTCGTAGAGGCAGTCCGGAAGGGAGTAAAAGTAGGGGACACGGAAACTTCGGTGTCAGGAATGCTGTTTGCGGATGATTTTGTTGGTATGTCGGACACCACTGAGGGACTGTAACTACAAATTAACGCGGCGAAGAAGTTTACGGATAAGTGGAGATTGTCTGCCAACGTTAAGAAGAGTGCCGTCACGGTATGCAACGAGGTCAGGGAGGAACCAGTAGAACATAGATGGAAGTCGGGGATCGAGGAGATTGCAGTAGTGGACCAGTACACATACCTCGGAGTAGAGATCGCAAATACTGCTCGTGGAATGCACACATGTCCAAGGTAGCGGAAAAGGGCAAAGCACGAGCAGCGAAGCTGCACCCAATACTCGCAAACCGGCACCTCGATACACGCATCAAATTGACGTTTTTGAAGAGCGTAATCGTACCGCCGCTAGAGTACGCCGGAGAATGTATGTAAGAAGGTAGTGAAAGACCTCGAGGCGGCGCAGATGAAAACAGCGAAAATCATCCTAGGATGCTCCAAGCGCACAAGTAATGCAGCCGTCAGGGCAGAATTGGGGATCCAATCCCTACGGTCGGGAAGAGACGCTCGGAAGCTGACATGGCGGTATCGCATGTGCGGGATGGGAGAGGAGAGGTTGCCGAGAATAGTATGGGAGGCGAAGTGGGCAAACAAAAAGAGGGGTAGACAACCCACGGAATGGGTCAAGGTTGTAGAGGACGCATGGAAGGGGTTAGACATCGACGAAGATGAAACGCTGGAAACGGAGGGTCTACAGGGGTTCAAGGAGAAGACATATGTTGCTTGTGCCGACAGAGAAAAACAGAACCTAAAGAAAGAAACCAAGGATAAGGAGGGTCTAGAAGTGTACGGAATGTTGAAAGAAGGAATAGGGTTCAAGGATTACCTACATGGACCAATGGATGCAGGGACAAAGCTTAAGGTCAAATTCAGGACCGGGGACATAGGCCTTCGCGAACGTCGACGAAGACATAGGACGGTAGACGACGAAGACGACAAGTTCAAATGTGATTGCGGCTTCGAATGTGAAGACCGTGTTCATGTAGTCGCGGAATGTCGGCGGTACAATACGGAGAGGGAAGTGTACATGACTGAGCTGGGAAAAATGCAAGGGAGGTACAGGGAGATGTTTGAGGCATGGAATAGAGAGGAGAGGACGGTAGCTGAACTGGGGAGTAGGAAGTGGTTTGAAAAGGCAGGAAGGGATATCGTTAGGATAGACAGATCAGGGAAAACATTTTTGAGCCACCTTTGGCAAAGTAGGAAGGAACGATTGGCCATCGGTGATCGGTCCTGTGGGAACAATGCTCCGTCCTCTCGAGGACGCGTGGTCAATGGTGTAATCGCTAAGGCATGCAAAACACAAGAGTACGCCCCCCCCCCCCCCCCCCTCTGGGCCTGAACCTCTCTTTTTTTTCTTTTTCTCCCGGCCAACCCAAAAACAACCCGGAAAGGATCCGCGGGCTGTATCCAGGCATAAGTGCTGTCCCGTTCGGAAGAATGCCCGGGGGGTGCCTCTACCTCACCACATATGAGGGCACCAAAAAACTTCTCCCGGAACCGCGGGGCGATCGGCGGGGGCGACCCAAAAACAGGAGGGGAGGGCATCTTGACCCACTTGACCGCTGGAATGATGGCGGAAGTTGTGTGGTACGTCCTTGGTTGACACATGGGGGAGCCTGTGTGTGCTCTGCTGTAGTTGCGCCTACAGCGGTGCTGTAATGCAG